AGAGTAAATAACTGAACTGAATTTTTCTTCCCATCGCCCACAACAGGTTACGAAATTATAGATGGCAGAAAACACGCAAATGATATGGGAGAACATTCTTTGAAGTCGTGACCGTTCTTTCTGTCTGAATGATGTAAACGAAAGTGCACACCACCATACATCCTCCTATTGGCACCTAATTCATTTGCAGGAGCTCACAGCTTAGAAAAATAGCATAGTAAAATAGAAAAAATAGGAAAAATTGTTTTCTGGGTTGAGGAAGGCACCAATAAGGGGATGGGTCTGCGTTGGATCATTACTGCAATAGAAAAACCATATTTTTTGACTAATTCTGATATCGAAGAAGCGCGTTGCATTTTCAGACTCTCCTTGTATTATATTTCAGCCTAGCCCACATTTCGCTAAATACTAAGATTGGAAATCGCCGAATGGCCAAACACACCCTCATCTATTAAAGTACATCCACGTTTACCGACTGATGGAATCTGATCGCTTGAAATAGGTATCCTGTTGACAGATCACTTCACAGGGCTTAGGCATACTATTCACATATTATTTTGTGAAGTTATATGGATGCAATTTTGAAAACGATAGACATATAGACAAACTTTGGAGTGGATCTGGCTTTGAAATTGCTTTTATGTTGGTGGACTGTGATTCACGAGTTTGCCACACATTATACAGGGTGGAGAAAAAATTTCGTGCGCCATAAATCACAATGAATTTTTGTTCCTGTGAAGTTTTGAAGTAGCCTCCATCAGTTTTGATATAAGCCTCAAATTGTTTCAGCGAGTTTGGTGCGGCTGAGGTTTTGATCGCATCATTGAATTCGAATTTCAGATAGTTCTTGTCAAAACCACAAAACTTTTTGCATTTTGATTCTTTGGTAGTTCTCCAATAATACTCATAGCTACGTCAAGGTCTCTTCCATGGAATGAATACAAGAAACTTTCAGGCGTGCGCGAAAAAATGAGTGTAATGGGTGCGGGGGATATATCCCGCACGGTCCGACATGGCCTGCAATGCGCGGGATATATATCCCCCGCGTTGTCGTCAATGTGTTAAAAAATATTTCACAAGATGAAAACAACAATGCGCAAACGAAACTTGAGCCGAAATTAAGCCGCAGAATCGAGAACGTGCTATGCGAGAAACTTATCACAACACCACCACCTTTGAAGATTTCTAAGGTCAACGGTCAAGCTAGAATACTCGCATTTTGCCCTCTGCCTACACTAAAAATCCTGCTAAACCGCCCAAGGTGTTTTTCTCCATCCCATTTTTCAAGTATAGGAAATGAAAGGAACTTAATGGTCGCATTAGGAGTGTTGCTAATTTGTGAATCATCTTCTTTGTACTACTTCGTAAGACACTCCAACGCTTGAAGCCACGAGTCAGGATTAGGCGGTCATACAAGGCCTTTCCGTTACTAGTATGGCCACGACTGCGCGCAGAGGGGTGACGCCACGCTACTGTCTCCGAGATTGCACGGACGAGAAGGCCTCTGGCCTACTACTTACAACGATGGGTTCGTTACATCAGCTAGATCCCCCACCGCGGGATGAGTGCGTGGCTGGCATGACATGTGAAATCGTAATCGTGTGGCGTATTGATTTGGTGGGCTTTTCTGGAGACCTAGGGTGGACGATCACATGCCAAAAATTGTCTAGGATGTGAGCAGGACGTGTGTGATGTAAGACATTCACCGCTCCTTGTCGAAAATCACGTGAAATGAGCCGTTTTATCTTACCCACATTGTTATCCATAGTGTTAAAGAGCCGAGCGGAGTGCTTTCTAGTACTGCGGATAAGATAACAGGGAGTGCCCCCCTCTGGGAGTTCACCAGTTTTTCTAATACCCAAGAGTGCAGGAAAGAACTCGACACTCCGACACTACGTATATAAACGGTCCAAAATCAGCGATGCTGTGGTTCCAGAGCTCCCTTGGGAAGGAATGAATTGCTTCGTGTCCAGTGCGACGAAAAGTTAGTAGCGTACTACGGCACGAAATGAATGGATGTTGTTGGGAACCGCTCGAGCATTGAAGGGCAAATGGGAGGAAATGTAAAACAGATGCTACCATTGTTAAACTTCCAGTGAGAACGAGTGAATGGAGTGTTGTTGGATCTGTTGTCGGACAAATTCACTACGTGAATTGTCACTTTAAATTGGAATATGAAAATGATAATTTGTGTGAATCATATGTATGTAAATATGCGAAGAATTAAATCTGAAGGTACCTTTCGAACCGAATATAAACAGGGTACGGACACATAGGGCATCTAGACATGATGTTCCGTTTCACCTGCCTGCTCGTCATTTTCGGGGTGTTGCTTGACGGCATCAAAGCTTTGTACCTTCAACCTGGTGGATACGCCGGGCCTCAGACGGTAAGCTGGCGGTGGATATGAACTCACTTGTGATTATACGGCTTCTTGAAGGCAGTGATCGTGATGGCTGAAATGCGGTGCTGCATTTATGACTTCGTTGAACGTCTTTGGTGGAAGGGCGTTAGGTAGCAGTCCCATATACACTCCACAGCGCTGAAGGGTCTAGATCAGCAACGAGGATGATTTCATTGAAAATGCACCGCCCTCCAGCCACCTTGTTCTCTGAGTGGTTGATTCCAAGAGGAGGACTTGGTTGGTGGGAATCCCTGCACTTGTCTCCTGCGCTTGTCTCCCTGGAAATACAAAACGCTTACATATCGGGCGATGTTGATCTGCGTATCCGCCCACAAATACCCTGCCAAATGCCAATGACGCTAATAGAACTTGTACTTCAAACTGAGGTGTGCTATCATTACTGTTTTCGTTGGATTTTTATGTCGAAAGTGCATTTTGCATGAACAGACATGTGTTGTAATACTATCATCTTACATCTTCTATCAGGGTACACCAGGGTGAATATCGGTCGAGGATTCCTCAACGGCACGTCGAGGATTTTCGCCTGATCAGTTACGCTCTCCCGCGCGGACATTCACACTCGCCATGCGCGAGCCGTCTGTGCTCTCCGCGCGTACGTTCACTCACTCTCGGCACTACTCTCGCAGAGTACAGACCCAATCTCAGAGTTCTCTCGAGCGTTGCTCACTGTGGGGCACGCTCACCCTACCTCCAGCACCCAAGCCGTAAACTCGTCCAAAACCACTTCCGAGTGAGGGCTGCGTTCTAATGGGGACTGACTGTTCAGGTTTCTTCCTCAGTGCCGCATCATTTGACACCTTAACTATCATACATTGATCACTAACAAGTATCGTAACCGCTGCCCCAATTACTGGTGTGTCTCACGAGGCAGTGCAAAGGCGAAGAATTGCTGTTTAACAGCACTCCTAATGTCGCCATTGCGTTCTTTTCATTTTTCAAACTTCAAAAACGTGATGGGGAAAACTTCATGGAAATTTTAGAAGGAATTTGATAGCACTGCAGAAAATGCGAGTATGCCTTCGTGACCGCTGACATTGGAAATCTTTGGAAGTGGTATAATAATGCTCCCTCCCTGCACAGTACGCGCTCGGTCTCGAGGCCTAATTTCGGGTTATGTCCCATATTCGAATGGAACTACAACTCGAAATCGGAGTAAAAATCAAGCGCTTTATTCTTAATCCATATTCTTCGCGAGAGATAATTCATGTATCAATACTTTGCAATTTTCAGGTGGAGTGCAAGGATAGAGACCCGTCTTGCTCTGTGGATGCTAAAAATGGTTTATGCGATGTATTCGGAGAAAATTACAAAACGTTTGTTTGTCCGCTAAGTTGTGGAGTTTGCGGCTGCAAGGATCTTGAACTAAAATCGATTTGCCAGTCGCATAAAAAGCGAGATCTTTGCAATCGTACTGAATACAATACTATGTGTAGAGAAACGTGCGGTCTTTGTGGAAAGTCTCAATCTGATAATATCATGAATACTATCATGAATTACTAAACATTTTTTGTTCTGTGATAAACTCTTTGGACAAAGGCAATAAAGGAACAGGAAGTTTTAGCATATTTTCGTGAGTTTACCTTCCCACGTGTAACACGAGAATTCCTATGGTTTCGACTCTGTTTGCTTTATAGAATAATGGGCCGTCTAGTACATTGGTAAACGCAGCTATGCATAAAATACATAAAATAAGGACGTGTTCTCTTTTAGACGATGGACGCGTTTACAAGACAAACAGATAATGACTTCTTTTGAGGAAACCGCTCAGCGTTACCCAAAAGTACATACCACAGTCAGGAGGCAATTATCGTCTTCAAAAATGTGAAGGTGTGAAGCAAGTCGCCAGTGCAGAAAAAATGAAAAACGATGAAAAAGCGAGGCCCCCTTTCACAGGCGACGGATGTCTTTACGAGGCAGACAGGCTAAAGGAGGGCAAAAATGATAAGATCGAAGGTAGAAGAAGGAGTATTTATAAAAGAATTCGAAATGCTGGTAGCCCTCTAAGGATGGAACGATGCACTTTTCGTAGCGAAGAGTATGACCTAGCAGATCAGTGCGGCCACACCAGTGACGCTCGCCCGGGGAGCGCCCACCCTCTCGCCGTCTGACCTGAGCCGTTCACCGGAAGTAGCGTTAACGTTGAAGAGGGAGCACCGATGAGAGTCGCATCAATGCGTAAATTAGTGGCCAGGTAGGAGGTTTATTGCTCGGATTCTTAGCCATTTCTCGAATTTTCCTGCACTACTGGCCACCTCTACCATGATTCCAATGAACTGCCTTTTCCTCATAAACTCCGTCTTTGAAAGATATAAGACAATGAAGCCTGCGAGTGAAGGAACAACCAAAGTGCAAACAGGCTCATTCTCCATGGTGAGTAGCCGGAGCATAGGCAACTGCTCAAACCCAAAACACTAAACCTCCTCTTGCGTGCTTTCGAACCTCTTTCCTGCACGTCCCACATCCTATGCATAATAGAGCTTTTTCCACGTAGGCCATGTCGGATGTGCTTCCAAGGTTCAAATGGCCTACACAAAGATACATCACTATGGTAGTCAGTAAAACTCTTGGAAACAAGGGAGGTGGTCTTTCACCTTATCTTGATGGATTTCAGCCCTGATGAGTTATAGAATACTGTACTGTATTCCTACATTGTACGACTTTGATTCGCCATGTGCTTGTTGTGTCTGGCTAGAAGCTATTAACCTTTTAGTGACAATGGCACCCTCCAGTGGGTGCTACTCTGTGCGCCGCGTGGGACACTAGCACCCAATGGTGGGTGCCACCTTAACATGTGCTTTTTTGCGTATTTAAAATATTTCTAACATTCTGATGATTCTTAGCAAACCTCGCTATCTCCCTATAGCATGGTTAACATAATTGTTTGATAGGAGTTGTGAGTTACACGAAAATTTAGTGTGCATTTGGCTCGGCGATATTGTACTAACTGGGATTTTCCATTGCTAGACTGAAGAAGACTGAAAATTTATTACTAGTCGAGACTTCTCCGTATTTTCGCAGTCTTCATGCACAAGGAGAGGCTTGAATTGTTTTAAAAACCCTATTGTACATATAACTTCCTGAGTTTTTACCTTTCATCCCTTTGAAATCCGAGTTCCCCTTCCAAACGCTCAAATCCTTCCCCAACTTTGTATAATACGAAAGATCACATCTGCATCCATGTTTCGTATGTTGGTAATGTCAAAAATTAAATAGAAAAACTGCCTTTAGAACAATTTTGCCCTAATTTGGGCGAGAATTGGCCGCCGGAAAAAAGTTTGGTCCCACGAGCCCGCTACGTGCAAATCCGCATTGTCGTCGAAGGGGTAATACGTTCCCCTTCAAAAAGCGAGAAAGTGTCGGGTGCAGACCATGCACCACAAGTGACGACGGCCTTCACAAAATGTTAATGTTTTCTGCCAATGAAATGATTAGCCTGTTGCAGTTGTATTCTATCGATTGTCACTAATTACAACTATCATTTACCAAATCAGCTATGAACAACTTCTAACCAGATTTACTTGGAGGCCGTCGTCAGTTGTGGTGTTTGGTCTGCACCCGACACTTTCTCGCTTTTTGAAGGGGAGGTTTGTGGGCTCCGAACCAAATGCTTAGTTGATATCGCAACTTGCTTCCGCACATTTCCGAGCAAGTTTGAGGGGAAACAAGAAACTAGTGCAAAGCAGGCTGTTGAGTATGTTGTATTCAAGACTTCAAAAAAAGTGGAAAAGTGATTCAGGTTGAAAAAACAGTAGATTTGGATAGAGCGAGGAACGCGCTTTCTAACGATATATAAAGTGTTAGCAGTTTCTTGAAAGTGACCCAGAAATAAAGCATTCAAAAGTGAGCTACAAAAACGGCGGAAACTTTCCGGACAACCCAATAAATATTGTTTGAGAATCATAGGTACCACAAGGCCTATAATACATCAAATCCGAAAATAGTGTAGCCTGTGTCTAAGAGGAGGAAGGGAATGGGCCGAGTCCTCGCTCTCAATGGACTAGATGGTCAGTTAGAGAGAAATGGCGCGGTAAACCAGGGTATTAGGGGTGAATACCATGTATAAGGTAGTAGGTACTAGACCCTAGTCCTACGGGAAAAGGAAAAGGAATTAACCAGAAATACTCGATTTAAGGGTTTTTCCTGAGGAAAGTCTACATCAAGACAGTCTGAGAAATTGGGGACGAAATAACAGGTTCAGAGGCGAGAGGGTATAGCGAACGGGTGGGACCCAGATTCCGCAGCGGTTAACGCGCATATTTCCTGGGCCCTAGTGTTCGCAAGCGCTGAGCGCTTGTAGTCCTTGCTACGCTTTTTTAACCACAGAAATCTCACAACCTTTGTGATTGCGAACGAGCATCCTTAGTCACAATACGATGACCTGACAAACCAGAGATTGCGGATTATGGGTCCGAATAATCACTACTAATTTTTCTCTTAAGGGCGGAAGTGGTGTAGTGGCAAGTGGCGCGCTACCACGCGAGCGGTCCGGGGATCAAATCCTGGGTCGTGAGTCGCCCGGGCCAACCAAGCCTTCCATCCCTCCGGGGTCGGTTAATTGGTACCAGACTTGTCTGGGAGGATAAAAACACTGACTTGTACATCGGCTGGCCCCGCAAGTCATTGTATAGGCCACATCGCATTCAAACGCCACTACGAATGTACAAATGGAAGTAGAATGCGTGCCGCATCCCAAAAAGGGATTGATCAACGGCAAATGCTTTATCCTTTTATCCTTTTAATCATTCTTAAAACATAGTCGAATCGCTTAGTAGCAATTATGCAATAAATAATAATAGTTGATTACCTGCTTTCAGTGTTCAAGGCCGAGGCTAATTTAAAGCGTCCTATACCGAAGTGTATTGCTTCGAGATTTAGTCCGGAAGACAGTGACAGGTATCTTTTCAGTTCTTAAACGGAAAAGTTGATCATGTTGCTCATCAGTTTGCAAGTCTATCGCTGGAAGTTCTTCAGCAGAAAAAAAAACGCGTTGATGGAAACTCCAAGATTTAGTGGCTGTGCGGAAGCTACGTGACTTATAAGCCTCCCTGCGTAAAAAGCCAGCTATGTGGAAATGTTAAATATCGCAAACTTCCTCATGCTTCTTGCGCTTCGATCATGCTCTCTCATGAGCAGAGACAGAACCTAATCTACAGTAGCTGTGAAAGTTATATGCGGATTTGATTGTTTGGTCGTACCCTTTGCATCCGACGGCCGGGGAATTTGCACTACAGACTCTACACACAAGTGACGACGGCCTCCAAGAGCTGTGGTGTCGAGAGGTTAGCACTGACGGCTGATAAGTGATATACACAGCTAAAGCATAAAGGATAAAGCATTTGCCGTTGATCAATCCCTTTTTGGGATGCGGCACGCATTCTACTTCCATTTGTACATTCGTAGTGGCGTTTGAATGCGATGTGGCCTATACAATGACTTGCGGGGGCCAGCCGATGTACAAGTCAGTGTTTTTATCCTCCCAGACAAGTCTGGTACCAATTAACCGACCGGACGGATGGAAGGCTTGGCCGGGCGATCCACGAATACAACTCCCAGATTTGATCCCGGACCGCTCGCGTGGTAAGCGAGCCACCTGCCACTACACCCAGCTTCCCGCCTAGACACATATATCCTTCTATTTTATAAAGCGCTAACTTTGTGTGTCGGTTTGTGTATCTGTATGTGTGTGTATGTGTGTATGTGTGTCCGTCCGCAAAATGAAGTGAGTGAGAAGGAAGCTCATGGGATAAACAAACCGCTAACAAATCGGGTAGCTTACAGGATTTGAGATATCAATGTTTTGTAGCAGGATAGTTGTGATAACACTCTTAGGGCTATATAAACACCTGCTTAGCACACTTCCGTTCATTCCACATGGTGCTGCAGTGGCAGCTGGAGGGCAGTGGAGAGAGGAAGGGAGGATGAGGAAGGGAAGCGAAAAATCTACCGTCATATCATGATTGTGTCCCTTCTACTGTATGAAACACCATTGTGTTGCATACGCGTCACTTCCAGGAGGTGTTGGTGTCACAGGAGGAAGGGACCATAGCGGAGGATAGAAAGCTTGCGCAGGAAAGGAAGGTCCCGGCGGTTGACGGGGGACTAATCTGGTAAAAAAATAATCCTACTATATATAATCGCTATGTATGTCTGTACGTGTGTGTGTGTGTGCGTGTGTCTGTGCGTCTGTTTGTCACGAAATTCGTAGCTCGGGTCACAGCAATGATAGCGCCATGGTTCTTACATATGTTATAGGGGGTGGGATGGGGACACAAGTGGTACGTGATAGGAACTGATAACGACTGATAATAGCTGATAAGAGGGGCTAGAAAGCGAGCATCGCCAATTTCGTTTTGCCGTTCATATTGGTAAAAGAGCGTCTATACTTACAAGTGTTATGTGGGGCGGTCCCGGGACATTGGTGGTACATGATTGGAAGCGATAGCAACTGATAATGGCTGATAAGATGCGCTAGAACGCAAAAGTCGTCAATTCTGTCAAGT